GCAGTTAGACTCGAGCTGGGCTCAGGCTGCGAGCTGCAGAAGGGAGTTTGAGCAGCGGCTGGCATGAGGCGTCAGAAACTGCAACAATGAGAAAAGACCCATCTGGACCTTCGGGAGTCGGGTTCGGTTTCGGCAGAACCCTGGCATCAAAGTGGGTCGAGATATAACCACGTGAGAGGAAAGAAACAGCTTGAGCGCCTTTTTTTTAAAATAGTCATTTTTTTTCTTTATTTACATATATCATCCTGTACAACATGCAGAAAAAATAATGCTCCCTCTGTCATCATTGCAACAACATTGTGAAAATTGGCAACTTTTTAAGAAAATACAATGTGTATAAATTCATGTCTGTATAAATATACATACAAGACTGGTTTCTATTTTTCATTAAGAACAGTAACTGCCTTTCCCTGCATGAGGAAAGGCTAAAACAAGCCCCAGGGTGGAAAAAAATAAAACCTGTCATATTCACCCCCTCTGTCGCCCTATATTCCCCTAAAAACAATTCATACTTATCACGTGGGTCAGTGGCTTTTTCTGAAATTTAAAACAAAACAAAAACAACGGCAAAGATCGAATCTCGACAAAAACAGTTTTTCAGCACGAGTTTCACTTCCTTTAAATGTCACCGTGATCAGTGAGCACCGCAAGAGCTTTTCAGTTCAAACATCGCTGCAGCATTTGTAACAGACTTAGATGCCGTGTGGGATCCAACTCCTCCCACCTGATCTGCCCGAAGATCAAGAAATGGCAACGATCACCTAGAAAACACAGCGCCTCTCTGGCAATGATGAGCATCTGAAAATACTTTAAAAAAAGGATTTACTTTCGACCTGACAGGTGAGGCTGGGGTGGGGCAGGACAGTCTATCCAATTAAAACCATGAAGAGAACCCACCAACTCGCAGTGTCATATAGGAGAAGAACTCGAATACTTAACCTGGCATTAAATATAGAACAATTTCAAGTTTCTCTGGTCAGACATATTGATGCATGTCCACTCTACACTACAAAAATAGTTTCATTACTATGTTTAAAATAAAATGTAGATTTTGCATCTTAGGAAAAACTGCACAGTGCTCAGCTCAGAACTAGTGCTGGGCTGCTGGTCAGTGTAAAGAACAGAAAATTGCTCTTTAAGGGTTGGGGTCTGCTTCATCTGTAACTTCTCCAGCTGACTCCAAAGACTCCAACAGCTGACTCCAAAGACTCTGACACTGTTGGAAATGTTCTTTTTCTGAAAGAGCACCACAATCTTTACAAGCAGCTTACGGCAGCGCCCAGTGTTGTCTGTCTGTATTGCTTCATCACTGAGACTACCCTTCAAGCTAAAGTCAGATCGATCTGACCGGCTGTTGACACACATAACGTTAGCTCTGCATGCTGGAGGTAAAGACAACTGCTGTCTTTTAGACCTCTCTTCCTGGTCTTAAAATAATAAAAAGAATGCTAACATTAAGAATAGATAAACAATGAGTCTGAAAACATGTAAAGAAACTCTTCCTATCCACGCAGACAAGACCCTGCTCCGAGAGTCCTCACTTTGCCACAGTTCCCTCCCTCCCTCTCCAAACGTGCACTGTCCTGGCCAGCGCCCCCTGCAGGTGAGGAGGACCACACTCCATGCACTTTGCTCATGTTCATTCTCGCGTGCCACACTGTAACAGAGGCCCAGCCCCGACCCACAAAGCACAGGGGGGAGCTCTAGAGCAAACAGTCCCTGCAGACTGCCGCTCAGCTTGCAAAGCAAGAACAAAACAAACATCCTGTAGTCGCCAGCCCGTCTTCCAAAGGCAGGACTCCCCAAAACAGACAGCACCCCCAGACAAGACAAGACTGAAACACTGCAATCTCTCCGTTACCCTCCAGTACTGGCTCCACCGACCACACCTTTTCACCAGAGGAGAACACTCCAACAATCTTGTGGAATAAAACCGGAACACAACAGCCGAGACTGAACGGTCCTCTCCCCAGGTCTGTTCCTGTTCTGACAGTAGTGTAGGGAGCTCTGGGGGGACTCTGTGCCAGTGGCTGTAGCAGCCCTCGGCCGAGAAGTTGGTGATATCCACCTAGCGCAGGCAAGTCCCTGGAGATGGGAGCCAAGCCAATCCCACTGAACTACTACACTGCACACCCCAGAGCCATCTGGGCCCAAGACACTTCTGCATTGTGCTGTATCTGCTTTAGATTGCTGTTTGCTGTTGATTAATTCACAGCCTAAAAACACAGGATTAGAAATGACTCTTCCCCCAGGCACTGTCTAGCCGCCAGGAGGACAGAATTATGAAGCCCTTACAGGTGACAGCTGGCTAAATCCAGTAACAGAGCCAAAAATAAAACGACAGCAGGTGGGTAGTTTGCTGTTGGAGCTGACTTCTATGAACTAGCCTGAGATATTGCTGTGTCTATAAGAGCCCTAGTTCTGGAGCTCACAGCCTGTTGCGCACTGAATAGGCCTGGATTTGAACGGAGCCTTCAGATCCGGTTTTTCCAGATCCTTTCCCGAAAATGAATCGGATGCAACAGGCAGAGACAACCCTGGTGCCCGTGACGGAAGCAAGAAAGACTTTCACAGCTTGAAGAGTGCCAGCAAACGGGTCCTTATACACGCCTTGCACACTGCTGTACTGGGGAACCTGCTGGCGAGGAAGACTATACTCTGGGAGAATCTGCTTCCTGAGCTAATTCTGCAGGGTGTTACGCTTGTGGCGTCTTGTGCTCATGATGTTCTGGAAAAGCCACCATCACAACCCCTGACCTCCCCAGCACGCCTGAGCACTCAGCTGACCGCTGCCCTGCCTGGAGCCTGCCGTCAGTCCGGCACAGGCCGAAAACAAGCACCCCCTTCTCCTCCAGCTCCGCGGGCCCGAACCCCTCTGGGGCTCACCAGCAAGATCATTTACTAAACCGAAAAGTGCAACTCAGTCCTTAACCTGCTCCATCCCTGGAAAGACTGAGAAACCAATTAAAGGGCCACCGTTTCAGAGTGAAACTATGTGAGCACTGTAGCCAATGCACCTTTTGTCACTTGTCAGTCCAAACCATACACTGGGGTCCCAGTTGCTGTCACAGCTGCATTACCTGAGTGTACACAAAGGCACGTGGGGTAGTGCCAGACAAGACCCCCCAGGCTTAACTAACTAACTAACTAACTCCCTCCCTCCTGCAGGTGTTCAAACAGGAGCGATGTACAAGGAACAGGCTCTCTGCAGGCAGGTGGTTTTTTACAGAACAGGACTGGGTCTCGATCAGGGAGAAGACTCACGGCAGCGGGACGTCGAAAGACAGAAACGCGCCTGGCAGCAACGCGGACATGTTCGCCGCCATCGCCGTACCGCTGGAGCACAGCTCTGGCTCCGCACCGGAGCGGCGAACAGGAGCTTGCACCTCGACAGGCCGACTGCGGGGAAACGGGGTGCGTCAAGGTGCACAGTGTTGATGGGGCACCAGGTGGGGACACAGAGGAATTCTGGGGTCATTACTACTGCTCGATCAGGCTGAAGCGTCCTTAAGAGGCGTCCAGTTTGTTCCGAACTGATCTGTCAAGCGCTGGGTTTCAGTGGAAGGGGGAGACGTGTGTCTCTAAAGACTCCAGGTGCCCCCATTCCTACTTAAACCACACTGAACCTGCCCCCCCATCTCACAGGAGCCCCGGATCTTGTACAGCCGCCCTGCTTCCCCAAAACAAAATACAAAAGCCGGATGAAAATCTTACAAGTCTAACGAAGAAGGCACTGACCCCTTGCAGAGAATCAGATGATAAACAACTGTACCTTCCCGAAGCCTAACTCGATCATCTATATATATAATTTATATATATATCAGGAGAATTACAGTAACTACCCATTAATTTAATAAATGAAAATGTAAAAGAAGGTCACAGAGCCCAGGTCCCCCTGTTCACCTGATCCAGACAACAGAGGATGTAACACAACAGTACCTCCCACATAAAAATGCAGCATCTTGAACAGCAAGGAAGGAAAGAGGTTTCCAAATCGGGCCTGCTCCTCTCTCCACAGAGATTCCCACCACGCTCGGCCACGCAAAAGCACAGAATTAAAAAAACAAATTAACTGCCTTTTTCAAATGCCACATTCGGGTGATTTTGTTTTCTCTCTTTTTGTGAAAAAAAAAAACGATCGCGATAGGAAACAGCCGCCTCCTGCCTCTCCATTCCTCCCAAAAACCCTTCGGTTGCGTCGCGAGGAACTGCCATGTGACAAACAAAACGGAAGAGATCAAGTGGCCTGTCGATACTGGCTTCCCGATTTGCACATTTTGTAGAACTAACACGGTGGAAATGGAAAATCTAAAAACAAGAGCCGATCAGATGGTTGGGCAACATTTTCCCAAAAACCCGAAAAGCACCCTTAAGAACTGCTCATAACACTCCCGAACAAAAACAGCGCTCCTGCCATCCGGCTCTCTCCCCCCCCAGACCGTGACACTCCACTGCCGGCCACCCGGGTCGCCGCCGAGCGCGATCCCGCTTCGAGTCCGTTTCCAACGTCTATGGTTCAGCAATGCCGCCCATAAAGCAGAAACCGAAAAGAAACTGGGCCTCTTTGCATAAACGAAACGAAACATTACAAGTCCTCTGAGATTCAGTAGCCTCCGCAGATTCAGGATAAACCAGACAAGCAGGCTTCGGCCTTCGTGGGACAGCGAGGCTGTGACTACGCTGTCCCTGGGCCGGCCCGGACTCCATCAGAAAGTGCTGCACCAGTGTGCTTATGTGCTGTGGCTGTGGTCAATCCAGCGAAGGACAGTGCCCTGACCAGTGCTGTTTCTAGCAGTGTGGACAACAACTGGGAGCATCCTGAGACCACCACGCTTTCCACTCTGCTCAGACAGCAACACCAAGATCTGGGGTTACTCTGCACATCACTCACATGAATTCAGTTGTCCAGTCCTTATCTAACAGGACTTATTTACATAAAGGCCTTTGGTGTGGCTGTCTGCTTCAGCCCCTGTATTTTAAAAAGACAGATGGAGCATTGGGCTTCCTTGTGCTAGATCTTCTGTTGCCGATTCATTCTCTCCGTGTCTAACCTGTTAGATCCAACATGGCGGATGAGTTTAGGAGTTGGTGCCCAGACCCATTTTAAAGAGTAAGACTTGTCCTGCACAGAATACAGAGGTGGAAGGCAGTAGCAGGCGGAGTCTATGATCCGTGATCTCACTCCCATTACTCTCCTTGTTGGATCGTCAGGTTTATCCTGATCCTGGCTGCACAAGAGCCAAAAGATTTTGGACAGAGCAGAGAAGGTCATGAAACTGTTATCCCTGCGTCAGCCATGTTGGCTCCATCTGTACTGCGGCAACACTTACCACAGCCCTCCTTCCTCTGAGCCAACATGGGTTCAGTTTCACTTGCCTCCATGCTCATGCACCAGCCTGAGAAATATGCCCCCACCCCCTCCCACCCAGTACAGTGCAGGGAGGAGGCAGCAGGTTCAAGTTTTAGAATAAAATACAAAAATTAAAAAAAAAAAAAAAACATATCAAAATCAAAACCACCCCTGCCAAGCCTCAAAAGCAAGCTAAGTGGTCTTAGTCTGTCTCCATGTTGACAAAGGAAGTGGTCCCGTCCAGCTCCTCCTGGCTCGAGGAAGTGACCTCATCAGCGGGGGACACGGCTGTGGAGCTGCTGGCGCAGGGCGAGGGCAAGGTGGGCGGCCGGATCTTGTCCTGGCGCTGGTAGAACAGGAGGTAGGCAGCATTGGTCTGGAACAACAGGGAACAGCAAAGACAGCTCCAGCAAAAGGTGTGGAAAAGAGGGGTGGGGAAAAAAAAAGTTGCAGCTCTCACTCAGCCGAGTAACAGTAACAGCACAGTAAGAACAAGGTAAGAACACAGTAAGGAAGGGAAAAAGTGCTGACTGTCGAATTTAGAGCAACTTTAGGTCTAAGCAAGACAGAAAAAAAATCACTAGATGACCTACCAAGCTGGGATTCATGAACTTACCACAATTTGATCTTCCCTGGCATACGTAACCTTACTGTCGTCGAAATAGTACCACTGGCCATTATCCTTGTTTCGTGCGTAGCTGGTATCTGCAAATTGAGGGAGAGAA